GAGTGAGATGCCAGTTTCCGTCCTGACTTCAAAATGTCAACTCGTGTCAAACGGCGTGCCTTGTCGTTGGACTGTAAAGTCCAAATGATCAAAGCGATTGAGTCGGGCATTCGTCACGGCGATGTCTGTCGAAAATTTGATGTTAAACCCAGTACACTGTCAACGATTTTAAAGAAAAAAACTGATGTTTTGAAGATGTTCGAACACAACAAAATTGAGCCGTGCCGGAAGCGAATGCGGTTTTCAGCAGTCGACGACGTTGAGCAGGCATTGCTGAAATGGTTTACCAGTGCCCGTTCTATGAATGTCCCAATCAGCAGTCCTATCCTCCAGGCAAAGGCCGAAGATTTAGGACAGAGAATGAAGCATTCCGAATTCAACATTTGTATTTTCCATTTTAATATTATTTTAATAAACATGACAACGTTTATTTCAATACTATTTGTGTGTTTTTAATGCTTGGTCTAGTGTTTAAAATGGCGCCATAGTTTTGTTTACCCTGACTTATGGTAATTAGTTTGTTTCTGTAAAGCGCCCTCTAGTGGTGATCGGTTATTACGAACACCGGTTATAACGAATATATTCACCTGGGGCCTTGATATTCGCACTAACGAGGTTTGACTGTATATCAGTGGAACATTCATGGAACAAATTAACTAATTATGCAAATTAGGTAATTAATATCCACAATTATTTACCCTTAAACTAATCAGGTCTCTGCATAGTCCCAGAAGATCTATGTAGCAAGTCTCATTGAAATATTATGAATAGTACTTGAGATATCAAAAGCTGAAAATTAATTAATAATGCAAATTAGGTAATTAATATGTACTGATATTAACCTAAAAACTATCAGGTCTGTGCAGTGTCCTATGACATCTATGTACCAAGTTTCATTGAAATGTGATGATTAGTACTTGAGATATCAAAAGCTCAAAATTAATTATGCAAATTAGGTAATTAAATATGTACTGATATTACCCTAAAAACTATCAGGTTTGTGCAGTGTCCTATGATATCTATGTACCAAGTTTCATTGAAATGTGATGATTAGTACTTGAGATATCAGTGGAAAAGCCGAAAATTGATTAATCATTATGCAATTTAGGTAATTAATATTGCACAGATTTTTACCCAAAACTAATCAAATCTGTGCATTAGTTTGGAGCATCTATGTGCCAAGTTTCATCAAAATCCAATGAGTGGTTCTTTTGATATCAGTGGAACAGTCATGGAACAGCTAAAAATCAGCTAATTATGCAAATTAGATAATTAATATGCATGGATTTTTACCAAAACCTAATCAAATCTGCGCATTGGCCCAGAGCATCTATGTACCAAGTTTCATCAAAAATCAATGTATGGTTCTTGAGATATCAGTGGAACAGACGGACACACATACACACACACACATACATACAGACACACTAACTGCAAAGACTCCCGTTGTATGCTTCGCACACAGGAGTCAAAATGTCACTAGTCAAGCCTATATAGGATGAGGTATTTTTTAGCATACCTAATTAGAATACTGTTTTGAAGTAATTCTCTGCTCAGATTTAACGGTATATCCTCACTGTCAACAATTCCTGAAAGAAAGTTTATAACATCGTTTGACATAAGGTAGGCATCCTTCCATCTCAGGAGACGATGGGTCTCAAAAAAAACTGTTGTTTTGTTCAAAGGGATCTGAACTTGGATCATGGCACGAGAACCACTACACCACTAATGATCACTTCTTCACTGTATTATATAATTGTTAAAATACTATAAGTTGGGGAGCTCTGTTAATTCATCCATCCACTTTTCAAAATTACTTTAAATATTTCCCTTCCTCCATTAATTTGGTAATTTTAATACTTTGAGTACCAGGATTTGTTTTGCAAAATGTTGCTGCATTTCAAACATTTCCTGTTCACTAACCTCTGACAAATCTCAGCCATTTTGGGAGAATGGATTCTGCCTTTGGTTGGATCAGTATCTTTCTACTGTAAAGAGAAACCCTGTTGCCATGGTCACGAGTGAATTCCCATACTGTAGGAGTGTGATCAGGAAAATAGAAAAGACTTCTGATATTGACTGGTGCATCCGCTCTATATTGCAATACGTAACGAGGAGTGCCTTGGGAATCTGACAAGAAATTGTAGAAGTCTTCATGCTGTTGGTCAGTGATATCTTTAGAATCCATCATCCATAGTGCCTGCAAAGAAATGGAATATTTATGTTATACATCATATCTTTCTACAAATAGAAATCTAACAATAATGTTCATATAGGTTGAATACAAATGTATTCTATGAACAGTTATGTCATTACAAAAACAGATAATGAAACAAGCCAGTAGGCTGGTTGGCGATCCACTCCACTTCGCTCAAAAAACAAACAATAAGTTTTCGGCTGTTGCCATGAACGTGGACATGAACGTAGACATAACGTTGGTTTATAACTAAAACCAAGCCCTATATACGAAGTTCACAAAACATAGTCTTTACAAGTCATCTTACTTTATTACTATAGGATGTATTCTGCTGTTATATTTATTATTTCCAATAGTTTCGCAATAGTATTTTCTGCATTGAACGCAGCATTTACAGTTCACTGCGTTGGGACTATGTTGATACAGTGTAACAATGTTGGCGCCGGTGGTCTCTTGTCAGTAGCAATGTAGCCAAAATAAAAAGCATGATCATTTGAACACTGCTATTACAAGACTGGTAGGATGTACCAGGATTTGGCACGAAAGTATTCAAAAATCCATGGCAGCAGTGGGCCATGATTGACCTGCCTGCCAAGTATGAACAGAATCAGCCAAGTGAAAAAAATCACAGAAGAATTAATACATGAAAACACTGAAAATCACCAACAGGGTCAGAAACATATGCACATAACATACCACTAATCTCAAGAAATCATCGAACAAACAACGTTTCCAGAAATACTTTTCACAGGTCTCACTGGCGGTGGGGGCCGGAACAGTGATTTGCATATTTTGAGTGCAGTGTTTACGCAATTTATGGAAAAACACACACACAAAAGTTCGAGTAATTGTGGTTGCTGATAATAATCTCGGATTTATATTTTCATTTAGCCTAAGTAACAACAGATCGTAGAGAGGTGAAACTTTCAATAGGGATGCATAACTTTGTCATACATGAAAATTTGTAACAAAAGTTAGCAAAAATGACTCTATATGCGTTTACCTATAACTCATATCAAATTTAAATTCTTGAGTAAATAATATTTAAGAAACAATCAATCCTAACTAAACTATACAGGCATAATGCCAAGGTGCTCATGTTTCAAACAAGATATTAATTAAATAAGGATGGCAATATTAAATGATAGGATTACGATGGATATTTTGAGTCAATACAAATATCTTACCCAAGTAACAACAGATCATAGAGGTGAAAGGTCACACAAGCAAGACAGTGCAATTGACCTGTGAGGGCGCTAATCCGAAATAGTTAGGCAAATGCCCTGTTAATGAATACACAAGGTTTCTGGATATAAACAAACTCAATTAGTGTTAACAAAGGGGGGATATATTTGAGGTTCAAAGAACCTGGGTCACATACTAATTGAGCGAGTCTGGATATTTAGTATTCGTCTCATTTCTATTTCCATTTCGATTCTAAAAATATGCCACAAAATGAACCTGCTTTTGCAAAGGTAAATTTCATACCAAATATTCTAAAAATGCAGTGAACGAAAATCTAAGTTAAATTCTGTATGTCTGTGTATCACTAAAGATACCAATGAAACAAATTTGATAAAAATCCACTGACCATGTTCACAATTCACTTAAAGATGACACAAAACAAATTGTAATCTACAAAAATTCATCAATCCAATTTGGAAGGAAAAAATGGTTTTGTACCTGTACAGTATTCAATCTTTTCCCATTTAAGAATATAGGAACTCCCACAAAATTACTGTACTTCTTTACCACATCTGTGAAAAAATTGAGTATATAAATATGAACTATAAAATACACATCTTCTTTAATCTGTAGTAATGTATAGAGTAGAGGTTTAAATAGACAGCTGTCTGATTGTCCCACAAATTTAAAAACTGCTTGTTTTCCTTGTCGATGATAGGGAGAATAATTCACTATTATTTCCCTAATTATTACTGTGATATTTGTTTGTATTATTGATTCAATATTATTCAATTGTGTTTCAGTGCTTTCTTATATTGTTATTGTGTTTCAATCGTCTTTAATACATATTTAACTCGAAGAGAACTATCACAAATAACGATAGAAAACGCCATTTCAAATGCTATACTCTTATTAGCCAATCATAGCTCATAGCACTATGAACCAATCAGCACCAAGCCCGCTAAAATTTGTTACAATGGCTGATCCTACCAAGGCTATAAAAGGCCTGAATACTTGTTCAAGCGCGAGTACATGTAACCTTTTCCAGTGAGGAGTAATAAAAGCAGTTTCTTCATATCGTTTATTTGTTTCCTGTTCCTTTGACCGACAGTCCCTTGTTTAAGCGCCTTGAACTTAAAGCTTGTTTAGGTTGAGATAAGTGTGAAACCCTATTCTCAATTCCTCCTACATTCCCATTCACTTTGGACAAAAATTTACATACCCTTAACATCATTTTCTATCCCGTATTTCCAGCAATCTTTTTTCAAATGAATAACTATTTTGGTTCCATTCTGCACACCGTCTGCTTCCACCAATTCAAATGAACCACTCCTACAAACAAGAAATAGTTGATTGAAATTCAATTCAGTTTATGACAAACATAAACCCAATATCAATGACCACACTCATATAACTGAGTGCTTTAAGTGTAATAAACAACAGCAAAGAACTTCATAAAATCACAGAATCAAAAGGTTCATTATTTATACAAAATTTGTCGATAATCAACAATATTTTGAAGTAAAGTAGGTAATAAGTTATTTTAATCTTCCAATCTCAATCACAATCAAGAGAGCTGCTGATGTATCAACAATATGTCGGTAAAAGCAGCATTCGTGTTCTTTTAGTATGATATCAAATGATGTTCCAAATGTCTTTAGTTAAGTTACTCTCTGTAGCACAGCTAGAGCTGAGAGCAACAGACAATATACTTGTACAATACTGACCCATCAGAACTCCATCTATAGGCTTGGCTGCCTGGCTTCTGAGATTTGGAGAAAACTTCTACTTTATCACCAACCATGAATGCAGAGTAAAAACCAACACCAAACTGTCCAATAATTGAATTTGAAGAATCTGCTTCCACGCCTTTCTCTTGTAAGTCTTTAATGAAAGCCTACAATAAGAAAGTACAGAATAACAATTCTGAAAGTTGTAAAACTTCACGATATTATCTCAAGCATAGCCCTTCCCCTCCCCTCCTAAAGTTCTTGGTCAATTTTTTTCCCAAAACTGATGCATATGTGTCAGGAATTCAGACAATAAATACTTACAGAAAAGTTGTGATGTGCACATTTTCATCTGACACATGTGATCAAAAACATTCATATTTTGAATATGCATATATCACATAACAATGCAGAGTCACTGGTAGTCAATTTCAATAATCAGTACTAGTTGCAAGTCTATATCTATCCATCCATCATCAAGAAATTTTTCTGCACAAATAACCATCAATTAGACAAACTCTATCAAACAACACAACCTATGGAAGTAGAGCACCATTATTCTCTCTGAAATAGTGGTTTATTTTCAATGTGTAATTGAGTACTATATGTTAACCACCACAAATTCTGTTATGAATAATCATGCAAATAATATGCAGATTAGTAAGTAATGTAAAATACTTTTTTTTATTTCACTTGGAATTCATTTTCGCTATCTTCGCTGAAGGGATGATTCAGTGAAAATACCTTCAATACATGTTTGTTTTTTATGCAATCACATACAGGGGTCAAGTAGGATTATAACATATAATAATTTACTACAAAAATCAAGATTACCTTAGATCCGGATCTGGCTATTGTTCCCAGATTAGAAATCAGTTCATCTTTTGTCATACCAATACCTGTATCCTACAAGACAACCAACAACAATTGTAGTCAATGCAGATAACAACGACCTCACAGTTCAATTATAGTAACTATACCATTAACCAAATAACAGACTACCAGGTACTTATAAGAAACTACACTTTATTTTGATGACATCATCTGTTCATCTCTGAACATAAAAGTTAATGTGTGTGTCTCCTGGTATTGTGGAATGGAAGAATGACTGCCGTAAGAAGATTGATTGACCATTGACCATTTTGCCTGTTCGCCATCTCTAGCTACATTTTTTTAATAACATACCCAACTAGACTAACGCCTACATGTACCTCTGAAACATTAATTGATTTTGTATTTTTATTACATAAGTAAAATATTACTTATTCTGGAATAATATTTCCCGGAATAGCACATGATCATTGTATAGTGAGTGTTCTGCACCAAAGTTTACCAAAACCCCATTATAAATATATTTATTATTAATAAGTTCAGAAATTATAACTTTATCAAATGTGTATGATGGTTCGTTATTGTTGATTCAAATGATGATGCATGATGCATTTCATCAAACTCTTTGAAAGTGTAACTGATTTCCATTGGCAGAGTGAAGAGTCAGAGAAACAACTACGGTGCTAAAGATCAAATGCGTGGTAACGTGTATCTCCATGACAGCATTGGATGGAAATCATGACAAATGATAATTTGGAAAAACACATTATAGAACCTTACAAAACAAAGTAACACAAGTCATTGAAAATGACACAGTCCCCATTAAATTTTTGAAAGTTCTCTTTGTGCTCGTCATATTAAAGCGGAGGGGTTGTCGCAAGCGTGTCCTTGAAACTTGAGTTCCAAGTGGCGTATACAACAGATTGTTTATTTACATCAAAACACGTGTTCCGTGTAGTAGTAATATGGCCAAAAATAAAAAACAGCCGTTATTCAGCCATCTTTGATCTGATTATGAAACACACTGATAGGTATGATGTATGTGCCAAATACAGATGAAAATGGTACATAAATTGTGGAAATATAGTAGTAAGGCCAAAAAGTCAGATGGCTGTCAATCGGCCATCCTTGACCAGATTTTGAAACAAATTGTCATGGACATGCATTCTAACATGTATGAAGTACATGTATGTGCCAAATTTGAATGAAAACTGACAGAGCACGTCCAAGATACCGCATAAAAAACAAAAACAAGATGCCTGCCAGTCGACCATCTTTGATCCAATTGCGAAATAAATTGTCATGGACATGCACATGCAAAGAATGAAGGAAATCGGTCTACAGGATTCAGAAATACGACCCTGGACAGACTGACGCACAGACACATGGACGAACGGGCAGACAGACTCAGGAACTCACGGACGTTCGGGACATGTATCCTAACATGTATGTATGATCTATGTACTAAATTTGAATGAAAACTGACAAAACATGTCCAAAATACAACATTTTCATAAAA